CTCCAGTTGCCATTGAAGGCCTCCAAACCCCTGAAGAGGAGAGACTTGCTACATTTGTACACTCACCACCAATGCCGCTTAACTGAACCGACCTCCAAGATCCTCTGTACTTTTGTCAGCACAGCTGGCTTCTCCTGCTTGATTTCCAACAGATCAGCAAACCGCACAGTCCTGCAAGCACTAACACTGCCATATTTATCACTTGCTCCAACTCTCTATTTCTACTGCCCAGTTTTCCACCACGATGTTTTTGGTGCTCTCACCTGTGTGCTCTCTGGCCAGCAGCCCTCAACCACCAGGGACCCTATGGACTTCACATACACTCACTATTACTCACCAGCACACCCTCAACTTGACCTACAGGCTTCACAACTAGCACGGAGGAGGCTTTGGCACCACTTAAAGTGCCAGCAAAATTCACACAAGGAGTGGTAATACAATACTTAGAATTACACCAAAATCTCACTCTAAACAAGTTGCACGCTGTGTTCAAATTCTGATTGAGCTTAAAAGGCAACCAAGCAACTATTTACACTGAGGCCAAAACCACCTCATCTCTCAGACTGTGACCAGTGGCATAGGTTTCTCCAAACACCCAGGAGAACCATGGCTCCCCTTCCATTTTACACAGAAATAGCATAAAGCCTCCTGGCCTCGTCCTTCCGTGCCCAAAGGCGTGGAACATGCCTTTGCATGTGAACAATTGCATAGTAACATGCAATTGTTCCTATTTGCATGTGATAATTTTAACTGGTAATTCTAGAAAATATTCTGTACAGCTGCATTTAAATTTCACCTTGCAGACTTGATACAACTCATTGGTACAGGATCCACTTCCGTCCCTGGTTTCTCAACCAGCAGCCCAGTGACTACCATAAGCAGGCACTAGAAAGGAAACCAGAAAGCTTTGATTTTTCTCCCAGCTCCGCAAGGCAGGTCAAATGTGGCACACTCTCTTCACCTGTAAAATGGGGACAGTACTTCCACTGTAAAGTACTTGAAGATCTGATGTAAGAAATGCAACGTAATTTCAAAGAAGTTAAGCTAAAACATATTGCTCTCTTCATTCTCTAGATAAATACTTCATGACACTCTTCATCCTGTGCTTCCATGATGACTTTCTTTTCTACCTAGTTTGTCATTTTTATTTAATCCAATTATTTTAGCATATTAAACTCAGACTAATACAAGGGTACAAAACCGAAATACCACTGCAGACACACAGCAGAGCCTACAGAATATTGCATCATTATTTTTATGACTTCAAAAGTAGACAAAAGAGTACAGATTAAGGCAGCAAGGCAAACGGTCACTTTATTTATTTTAATTCTCTCTTCTAGTTCTCACTCATTCCACTCAGTGGTAATAGCTGAAGGCATAGACCCAAATCAGTGACTCATGGCACAAGACCACAGTCCAGTCACTGGGTTTTCAAAACAGTGCTGTTCAAGAATTGCAATGTTCCATCCCAGGAGTTTAATTGTTTTTTCTTTGTTTATAACAAAAAAAAAAAAAAAAAAAGAAAAAAAAACCCCAACCCACTGACAACAGGTGCCTCTTTTGTTTTCATACATGGAGAAGAAAAAAAATTTTTAAAAAATTCAGTCTTGATCCTCCCAGCCATAGCCCACAGCCTAGCCAGGCAGCACAGGCATGAGGCACATCCTTCCCACCAATGCTTCCTCCCCAGGTTACTCTCCACAACCAGAAACATAAGCCAGAATTGTTTAAAAAAAAAAAAAAAAAAAAAAGAGGAAAAAAAAACCCAACCCACTGACAACAGGTGCCTCTTTTGTTTTCATACATGGAGAAGAAAAAAAATTTTTAAAAAATTCAGTCTTGATCCTCCCAGCCATAGCCCACAGCCTAGCCAGGCAGCACAGGCATGAGGCACATCCTTCCCACCAATGCTTCCTCCCCAGGTTACTCTCCACAACCAGAAACATAAGCCAGAAGAACTGTCCAGGCAATTTTGGCTTCAAGATTACCCCAACTCCTCTACCCGTGTTCTGGAAATCTCAACGTGTTTTAATTTCAACTTTTTTTTTTTTATTATATATTTTAAATAAGAAAGCCTTTCCTAGGTTTTTCAAATGAGTAATTTTACTTCAACAGCTGTTTGAGAACCTTGATTTTTTTTACCTCAATGCCAGCCCCCTCAGACATGTTATTTATAATAGGCTGTCTTCCTTAATACTTGCTATTACTCAAAAGACCAATGGAGTGGTCCTAGTAAGCACCTTAGCTGTTCAATCTTCACATCCTTTAAATATTGGGGCAGGTTCAAAAGGGTAAGCTTTCAAATCAGAACTCTGCTCTTCTTGTAAAGAGCCACAAACACTCTGACATAACCCATTTCCTCTCATTTTCCAGGTTCTGTAACTACTGCTTCGTATCTTCAAAGATACATTAAAATGTGACATAAAAGACATACTAGAGAGTGGAAACTCATAAATTACTTACATCCTACTCTATCTACAACAGGCCTTGCAGCTCCCAGAACGGGTATGCCCTTCAACACACAATCCCACAACAGTGTATGTTCAGGATACCAATCAGACAGGGATCGTTCACACACAAGCACTCATCTGCCTGATGATTAGATTTTTAGTTTAGTTAAATATCCTGCTCTTAACACAATTTTTAACTTACGTTAGGTGGTCACAGGGAAAGTGTAAATGTGGGTCTGCCTCAGTTTAATCACTTTTTTATTCAGGTAAGACCTGTCAGTTTGGGTTTCAGGAGGGCTAAGCAAAAGAGCATCACCAATGGAAGGCAAAAAAATTTAGACACAGGAGGACAAATGCAAGGCTCCCTCCTCCTTCCGTTTCCTCAGAAGAAACGTGGAGACATACCAAAGTACCCATTCCTGGCCCCCAAAGAACAAATGGTATGTATCGCCTTGGCTACCATCTTCTTCCTCCTGCAGAAGCACACAGACGTATAGAGTGCTGGAACCACAAGAAGCCTGCAAGTGCTAGCCTCTTTCTCCTGCTTTCTACTAGGACTACATAAGTGCTACAATGGTGGCCGTGATCTCAAGTCTTCTTTCTAGAAGAGGCAAGGAAATAAAATTCACCCTTTGGTGTAGGATGAGTGGGCAGTAGGGACAGATAAAAGCCTTCATTTTTCTTCTCTCCCTAGGCTACGTAAAGCAGGGTTAGATGTGAGTTTACAAGCCCAACAATGCTCTATTTGGGTTGGAATAAGGCTCCAGTCCCTCCCCCGCACCCTTCCCTTGAAACTCTCTGCAGGTTTAGAAGATCAAAGGAAGACACACTCTTCCATTTTGTTGGGTAAGAAATATTTCTATTGCATAAAAGCGTGCACGTGTACATCTATGTATCTCAGGAATTTTAGCAGAGTCTGGGAGTCCCATAGCCTTCCTCCCGAGTCCAGGGCAGCTGCACCGGGGACCGAAGGCTTTACTTTGTTCTCCACTGGGGGGAGGATCTCACCTCCCCTCCCAAACCTGGTTCAAAGTGGAAACCACTCCTAGAGGTCAGGAGGCAGCACCACAGGAGACGGCTTTCCCTGACCCTCCGCCCGCAGAGAAGCGGCGGCGAGCGGAGAGGCCCCAGCCGCCCCCGGCGGGGGCAGGCGGGGCGCCCAGCCCCCTCTCCCGGGGCCCGCCGGGAGGCGCGGCGAAGCCGAGACATTACCCCCCCCCCCCCCCCCCCCCCCCCCCCCCCACCACCCGACCAGTTTGAGGAGGGGGTTGAGAAATAGTCTCCCAAGAGTTTTCAAAGGTTAACACAAGGCAGAGGAAATGTGCCAAAAATGTGAGAGTCAATAGTAATGGCTTGCTTACCTTTCCTTTAGACTAAACAATATTAAAAAATTATACAAGAAGAAGGACAAGAGAACTGAAGCTTTAAGGGGTAAGAGAGGTTTG